CTGGGCAACCATTTGGTGTTGATGAACCCGGTGTGAAGAGGATTCCCTAAAACCTTTTCCTTCTAGAGAGATATATCCCACAGGAGAAACCCAAATAAACAATAAGAAGGGAACCATACAGGATTTGAACGGATTGCGTCATAGCGGTTCACCGTTGTAAAAATAGTCTGCCACGCACTTTCCTTTAGTAATACTGTTAGAACTGTAAGGCCGCATAATTCACCGAATGCAGTGTTATATAAAAGAAAAGAAAACAAGAAACCTATCAATTTTTTTCCTGCGCTTGACAGCTTATTTAACTACCTGAAATGTGTATCCGCTCAATTACTTTTCCTTTTTTGATCCATAAGTAACTCGTTTTATGCCCGGTAAAAGATACTTTCTAAAAGGAAATTATCAGTTGCAAAAGCCCAAATGTATGACATTAACAAATCGATTTAAATATATATCATGGTTCATTGAATACGATACTAATTTTACCTCTCCTCCCCCTCCCCCCCCCCCTCCTCTTCCTTCCTCACAAAAAATATATATGGACGTTTTTATTTAAAATGGAAACTATTTTTTTCATCTTCACTTTCATCAATAATCTTTGTGATTAAACCAAATTGAAAATTTTTATCTTTTATCCATGTTGATGTACAAATATATTTAAGGATGGAAGATCTCATTCGCTTATAACGCGTACAAACACCCATTGCGCTAACTGATGAGTCAAATAAATGGGTATATATAGAAAATATTTCTTCATAGTTTTCCACTTTAGTTCCTTAGATCACTATTTTCAAGTACAAGTCTATACATTCAGTTTGAATGATATACCTGTTTTTTTTTTAGCGGGTGAATATGCTTAGCTACTTTTAGGACAAATATCCAGGGATATTAAAGGAATAAAATGAACAATAAAATATCTGCCTTTTTACAGTTTAGATTTCAAATTTTGAAATAATATAAATAAAATCAAACTAGATAGTCTTATTACATATACGAAATTAGCGAATATGTCGATAAAGCATATCAATAGCGTTTTGTTTTTTTTCCAAATTTCTAAAGCACATCGTATCATTAAAAAAAACAGTAAAGAGGGCAAAACACAAATGCCACCCCCCTTCCCCTCCTAATGAAAGATTATAAATCGCTGCGCTAGAATCAGAAAAAACATAATAGAACCAAAATACCGTAATAAAGAAAAAATGAAAAAACACTTTTTGTGTCTAGATAAAAAATGCGCGAATATATCAAGATGAATCTTTAAATTCAGCTAGAGAATACTGACTAAATTTGCTGATATTGCTGAATGCATCATCTAATTTTACCTATAAAAAAAAAATCAGGCTGCTCAATCTGCAGACTCCATATTTTAAGTATCCTCACATAAATATCAATATTTATGTGGGAAAATTCAAATCATTGAACAAAAAAATTGAGTAAACAATAAAGTAAATTTTTATGATGATAACATATTTTAGTATGATAATAAAAAGGTGCGGATATCATAAACCTGGGTTTCACCATAGCTCCAATTTTTTTCTTGGCGAAGAACCCTCAGTCTACAGAAAAATAAGTAAAAAGGTTGAAAAAAAAAATCTTTTTACATACATTCTACGAGGCATATATTATTTTTTTTTTGTATCATGTCAAACAAATTCACAAGTGATAAGAAGCTATCCTAATCATATTTTTTATTCAATCGTTTGATTTCTTCAGTCAAGAACTTGAAGAAGTCGAACTCATTGCCATCCTGACCGTTTTTGTAGACATAGTTCGAGGCCAACCAGACCGCGCAAATCGCGTGTTGATACCCCTCCGGTACGCGCTGTAGCATCTTGTCGATGGGCACCAATTGAAGGAGGGTCTTCGGCGCGTACTCCATCATCAAGTACCGCACCAGCTTCTTATCCTCGAATATATCACTCTTCAGCATGTTTGCCCGGATCTTCACGTTCTTGCTGCTGAGCGCATCGGAAATGAGGATCCTAGACTTCGATGTGTCCTTCTTCCACTCGCTCCAGATCGCGTTGAACTCCTTTTCGGCGTTTTCATCGACTCGAGCGATGACCTCCTCTACATAGCGCTTGTAGAAGACCGGGGGGTTGGATTCGTCCTTCATGCACATATGTTTGGAATGCTCCTCGTCCGACAGAGAGAGCCCCGCCAAAACCTCCAGCGAGGAGCTCGTGACGCCGCCTTTGTTGGTGGAGGCGTCTTTGATGAGGACGACGCCGCAGCGCTCCAGCGCGAGCCGCGCGTCCTGCGAGATGAACAAATTCGCGCCATCGACGATGATTTTGAACTTCAACTCGTCTGGGCTCGGGTTCACGCGTCCTCGCAGCATATCCTCGCCGTCGACATCCTTGACCTTGAGAAGACGGGCGACGTTCTCGATGGTGATGCTCCGCGGGCGCCCCCCGCAGGGTAGGAAGATGTCCGCGTCGCTGTACTTCAGGAAGTGGAACTCATCGCGGAACTGCACGCCGTTCCGCACGAGGGTCCCATCGGGCAGCTTCACATCCACATCATCCACGAGGACGAGAAAGCCGTCCTTGGAAAGCTTCCCGCGGTTGAACTTCGCGAGGGGCAGACGCGAGCAGGCGAGCCGGATAAGCTCCTCGCGGCAGATCCCCTCCGGGTCGTGCAGGGAGCCGGTTCCGTCCGCAATCCCGATGAGCTTCTCATTGCTCAAGAGGATTTCATTGCTGCCGAGGTCGCCATCGGGGCCGCCGGTTTGGAACTTCCTCATCGAGGCCCCGTTCAGGCCGAGTTCTTTGTAGATACACTTCACGTAGGTGCGCACGCTGTGCGTGGTCATGGCGTAGACGTCATGCGGAATCCCCCCAATGTCCGGGTCCTTGCCAGTCGTTAAGCTCTTCCAGTTAGCGTAGCCGCGGCGCTTGCTATGGAGGGCACCCGCGGAGGGGAAGCTGCCTGCGGTATACTCATCCGGCCCGAGAAAGATAATTTCTTCCTTTTTGAGGCGATCTACAACACCGGACTCGCCAGGCATCACGAGGTCCAACATCGCGTCTACGTACTGGAGGAATATCCGCTTGCAGACCCTCTCGTCAAATTTCGTGTGGAAGCGGCTGGAGACAAGAATAGTGCCCTTGCTTCCCCCCTCCGGGATATCCTTATTCTTGTTCAGCTGCGTTAAGGCGAGATTGTAATTCTCCTGGAAGACGGTGCGCTTGTTCTTGGTGTAGGTGTTCGGCTTGGAGATGATCATACGGACGCCACCGCGGGCGATGTCGGTGAATCGGATGTGGAAACCGCGCCATTGGCCGCCTGCAAAGAGGAAGACGCCGTACGGGAGGAGCGGGTACTCCAAATCCTTCAAAAAGCTGGGATCGAGCCGGAACGCGAGCGCTGCCTTCTCCGGCTTGAAGAAGTTGTGCTTGAGCACCACCTCGTTGAACTTAAGGAAGCTCATGAAAATGGCAATGTCGTGCGGAAGCCGACCGTCGTCAATCAGCTTCTCCACTATTTCCTTGGAGATGGAGGCCCGTCGTTCTTCTGTTGAGCCTAGACGGAAGTCCTCGTAGATTAGCTTCACGAACTGAGGGTAGTTCTCGACCAACTTACCCATGTAGCTTTCGGACATCGTCTCTTGGGTAAGCGAGTTCCGCATAGTGTTCAACCAGTTAACGCCGTGTGGGATGTTTTCAAGCACTGTTCGCAGGCGGCGGTAGCTGTCGTCGGGTGGGATCTGCGTGAAGTAGAAGGAGAAGATAAACACCGCATCGATGTACACTGCCTGCTCACAGGTCAGCAGCCCCGATTCGTACATCCGCACCGTCGGTTTGGATGCGTTGGAGGAGAGTAGACCCACCATTGATGCCTGGTCCCTCACCTGGTCCACCGTGGCGCCCTTGATGACCATGGTGTAGACCCTGTCGCCGTTGACCAAGGAGCAGGAGCCGACGCGAACCACATCGCTGCCTTTAATCTCCTGAAAGACGTTCAGCAAGGGGACGATGTAGTCGGTTTTGTCCGCACAGCTGATCATGGTAAAGAGGATAGTGTCCTTCCGCGTGCCGTGCACCGAGATGTCCAGCACCGGGACCACGGAGTCGGGGCGCTGCAAGAGCAGCTTCTGAACCCGGCGCCGCTTCTCCTCCGAGAGGTGGTCGAGGATGTCCTTGGGGATGAGCTTCTCGATCTGGGTTTCGCGCTCATCGGGCTGAGGGACCCCAAAGGGGACGAAGGAGACGGTGTAGATCACCATCGAGGCGTCCTTCGCGTTGAAGGAGCGCACGATGGTGCTATGCCCTGTCGGGATGTCCGACCGCGACGTGTACTTCGCCATCTTGCGCACACTTCGGATGATGCTCTCGGGGTCGTTCTTGCAGATGTAGAAGGCGGAGTGGCTCTCCTCGCGGGAGAACTCGAAGGGGTTGCACATTTTTTCGGACCCTTTCGCGTTGAGAACGCCGAGCACGTGGTTGCTCAGCTCATCAGGGGTGACGCACTTGAGGTAGGCGGTCGACGAAAGGTTGTCCAGGAACTGGGTGAGGGTGTCCTTGATCAGTGGGGTGTCGAAAATGCCTTCCGATTGGATCTTGACGATCACGTTGTCCAGGTTGAGGGCCGGGGTCGAACTGACCCCTCGATAAATAAGGGGCAGTACCGGGGTAAACACCCTGCCGGGTTTTGCAGTGGCCGCAACCTTGAAGGCAATCCGACGTATCATGGCTTTGTCTGTTTAGGACTCTGTTCTTTAGGATTGCGATATGGTATGAAAGCTTGTCTGGATTTTTATCGCGTATATGAATCACACACGTGAATACTATTACTTACCCACGATAATATATACAGAAAGATAAGAAGAGGGATCTCTTTCAAGCTTACATCTGGATAAATTTATTATATCGTGAACCATAAATAGATAAAAATTTTCTTGTCTTGCAGCTATTTATCCTTTAATTTTACTTATTAAAAGCTGAAATTTTGATGCAGGTGTTTTCCTACTCTTTGAGCATTAATGCAAATATAAAATTAAAAGTAACTGCTGCGTTAAAAGATATACACGAACAAATAATTATGCTGGTGCGAAGTTTAATCCATAAACAAAGGGCGGCCAACTCCATTTGTTCCCTACCTGTTGTTGAGAAAGTAAATACAAAAAGAACTACACACACAACACCAGAAAGCGAATAAATATTTATTTATATTTATATCTATACTCACGTATTATAAATATATAAACTTTAAAGATCTTTTTCGGTTCGTTTAACAATCAATTTCTTCCAATTTAATCAACGTTCACGTCTATTTCGATAATGCTTATCTTCAAATATTTTATACAAATATACTTTGCTCTAAGAAAATATATTCTAAAAACGTCTCTCAAGTACAAGTTTGAGAGAAGCTTCCAACGAATCTCGTGCCGGAGAAGCGTGGAGCTTCCTCAGCTGTGCAAGCCCCAATTGGCAATGGTCATTCGCTTTCTGAAGAGCCTCATCTACCGTCCCCATCTTTTTGATGACTTGAATGCAGTAGTCAATGTCACCTTCAGCTGTAAAGCGGCGCCGCACCGCAGCATCAACCTTCGAATCTTTTTGTGCAGCCAATAACACTGGCATCGTTGCGATTCCTTGGTTTAGATCCGCCATTTTAGGTTTAAGGAGCTCCTTCTCGTCGCCCATGATGTCAAGGCAGTCGTCAACGATCTGAAAAGCGATCCCAAGATGCTTTCCGAACTTGAAAGCGAGCAGCTCCAGCTCTTCATTACCCGGGTCTGCGAGGACGGCGGTACTTGCAAGCGAATTCGAGATCAGAGAGGCTGTTTTACAGAAAGACTTCTGTTCGTAGTGTTCGATGTTAAAGCATCCATCCATCTGCATGAGTTCACCTGTTGTGAGCTCCTCTAGGGCTGTGGACATGAGCACGACGATACGCGGCATCTGCAGAGTGGCGATGTAGAGGGATGCCCGGGCAAGCAAATAGTCTCCGGCGAGTATAGCGTGTTTGATACCGTATACCGTATGCAGGGCAGGACGCCCACGACGCATATCGCTGTTGTCAATGACATCATCATGCACAAGTGAGGCCGTGTGGATGAGCTCCGTCACCTCCGCCAGCCGCAAGAATGGTAGAATCGTGCCCGGGGTGATATCATTTAGAGACCCAATCTCACTCTCGGAGAATCTCATGCTGACCTCACGCTTCACCATGGCATGCGCCATTAGGACAATCAGCGCAGGGCGCATCAGTTTGCTGCTCCCTTCCAACGTATACTTACCCGCATGATCTAAAACACTGTTATGCCGATTATTCACGAGGCTTTGGATGTGCGACTTGATTGCCTCAACTTCACGGCTGACCATGTCAAAGCATTTGCTGCCTTTGATGTAAATTTTGTTGCTTTGCGAGTGGGGATTGATTGTGGAATTCCCAAGCCGTCTTGAAATGACACGTATCATCCTCCTGTCATGCACAGTCTTGGGAAAATTGCGATAAGCTTGAACACATTACATAAAGAGGAAAAAAGAGCCCATTTTTTAAACTAAAGAATTCAAAAAGATGGGCAATCATGGCCCATCCGAAAAAAAAAACAAAGGTTGAGATGCGTTATACGTGCATATAAATATAGGAATAAAAATACAGGGCATTGGCAACTTTTTCTCTTTAGGTATAATTTAGAGAAATCAAATTCCGTCAGAGACGTCTTGGTCGCCTGCGCATTAAACCATTGATGCCGAAGCTGGCATCCTCATCCTCACCCTCAAGATCATCATGGCGAAGGCCCCGAGCTCCCTTTGAACGAGGGGCTTGTTTTCCAGCATAAGGCTTATCATCATCGTCCTCTTCTTTTTCTTCTGGAAGACGAATGCCATCATTAGCATGAGTGTGCATTGGCTGTTCTTGATTCTCCTGTTGAAGTTTTTCAAGGGCCTTCATCTCACGCGCAATACCCTCATTGCTGATAACCGGTCTTGAGAACAACACAACGGGCTTCTTCGCAACAAGTTCGTCTTCATCTTCGACAAGGTTCCCTTTCTTATCACCTGAGCTGGGATAGGGTTCGACCACGGGTGTCTCCGCTGCGGCAGGATGGGAACCCTTTTCTTCGATGCTCTTCAAGAGATTTTCATCGGCCTCAAGATCCTCGACGCTTATGTGTAGACGAGCTGCCGCTGTCTCGAGCTGCCGCTGGCGTCGCTTCTGTTGCTGCTCCTTTTCGCGTAGCTCGCGCTCCAGACGAAGCCGTTCCAGTCGCTCCTCGCGCGTTTCGCGGCGGCGCTGTTGTTGGGTTGCTGTGGCTGCGATCCTCGCCGCGTTCTCCTCCAGAAGCTTCTTCGCCCTCTCAATTTCCAGTGCCTCAGATGCGGCCTGCGCGCTTTCCTCCACAGCCGCGCGGGCCTCCGCGAGGGCTTGCCGTTCCGCCGCGACCTCCTTCACCGCCTGCGGCATGCACTTCGCGAGACGCATGACGCTTTCCCCGACCACCGTCCCCCCCCTGCTGCCTTCCGGCTGCTGTTGGATAAGACGCTGCTCGATCGGGATGATCAGCTTTTTCTTATTCTGCCCGCTGCTCACGCAGAACGGGACGACGACGCCCCCTCCTCCCTTTTCCTTTCCCCCACCCTCAAGCTGGAGGCTGGGCGGCAGGTCCCTCTCGTTCGCGTTCACCCGCCCAGACTTTG